TCCTCATTCAGTTAAACAACAAGAAAACAAAAATATACGGTACTTAGAGCTAATTGGCTTGGGCAGCAGTTGTCTTATGTAGGCCTCGAAATATAAACATAAACATATCCTTCACTACCTTTTCTCAAATTCATATGAGTTCCCTTCCTTTCAACTGAGATTACAAATAATATTAAAAAAAATAAAAACCAGAAACTGTCTCTGTTTCTCATAGGTGGAGAAACTGCTTCTTAAAACCGGATCTCATGGTTTAAGTGGAAGTGTCCAAATGAAGCAGCAAAATATTCAAAAAACACACTTCAAGGCCCTAGGGACCAAACACAAAGCTAAATTCTAAATCCCTAGTCCTAAAACCCAACATTACACCCTAGAATAACAAATTATGTCATTACATGGAAATGATGATAAACAAACCTAAAGAAAGCCTAGTTCAAAAGGGTTGGAATCCCACAATGCGAGACCCCTTTAGAGGAACTATCAAGATGTATTATACATGACATATTTATCTCTAATCACACATAAACATGTAACAATGGGCAGGGTATCCTACTATTTCGAGTAATTTAGGGCTTACTTAATGACCTCACAAGGCATCAAATCTACCCAACCGTGGGTGCAGAGACTAGAATGCCTTTGTCCACTCAACTTAATACCATACTCAGTTGCAACCCCCGCTACAAGACTTGACGACTCTTCTTTGTTTGAATTGCTGCTTACAAATAGCATTAGTCAAGTGTAGAACCACAGTCGTATGATATATTTTCTCATACGAATAGCACTAAAAAGTTTGGAAATTAAGAGAATAAAATGATTAGCAATTTAGAAAGGGAAAGTGATTTTCAAAGACCTTTTATAGAATCACACTCCGACTCTTGATTTATCGTCATCAGATTGAATAAATAAAATCAATGGCTTGATTAAATAGAAGTGTATAAGAAGCTAAAAATGTGTCGACATCAATTACCTTTTGGAAATATATAAAGGGTGTGGGAAAGAACCTATGGTAGGTTCCTTTTCACCCTTCAAAACGAAGAACAAGGTAAAATCGATACCAAGTTCAACACCAACGAAGCGACAAAACATGGCAACTTTTAAGAACCAAATTTGTTGCTCGAGAACAATATGCAGCCAGGGAAGAAGGAAAACAAAGATTTGACACATAAAGCAGGACCACTATTACATGTTCAAACAAAACTTAAAGCTTGTTAAGACAATTTAGTTTAGAACGATTCTGTAACAAAATCTCATAACAAAAATCAGGCCTATGATGCTAGTAATACTCGAAATAGTATGAGGTCATTAAGCACGCCCTAAATTATTCAAAATAGTATGCACTGTTACAAAATATTTCGCCAAAAGACCTGAAACTGTAAACACCCAAATGATTACATATATACGGATCTATCTATAACTAAGAACACGCATAAAAAAACTGCCATGCCATACATACATTCAATTATACACAGAGGTTTAATCATATACAATTATTCTGTGTATCTTTCTAAACATTAGAACCCTAATTGTAGAACCCTAAAGTAGATTAGAACCCTAGTTCCAGAACCCTAATTCAAAGCAATTATCAAATCAAAGAAATTATTCAAAACATTAGAACCCTAATTGTAGAACCCTAATTCCTAATTTGACTAGAGTTAAGTAAATTGAAATTTACCTCAGAGGGAGAGCGTTGTCGGAGGAGGAAGAGATAGGGTTGTCGGAGGAAGAGAGAGGGAGGTACCGGAAGAGGAAGAGAGAGGGCTGCCAGAGGAGGAAGAGAGAGTCTGAGGGAGAGTTGAGGGAGATGGCTGTCGGAGGGAGAGTTTACAGAGATGAGAGGTGAGGGGAAAATGGGAAAGTGTTTGCGATTTTAGTTTAATCCTAAGGTTATTGCGCGACGAACAGAAGATGTTTGTCGCGCAATAAATTCAAATTTTTATGAAATTATTTTCGTGCGTGCCCAATTTTTAGCTCATTGTGCGACGAAACGTAATTAATTTTCATGCAATTTCCATTTGCGATACGAATAATATTTTGTTCGTCGCGCAATGAGCTGAAAATTTATTTACCCGAGTAAATTTTTTAAAATTTCTATTTATTCAAATAAAACCAATTTCTTTATAACATAAGATAATTAAATTACAAACAATTTCATTTACTATGTTTTACATGGCAAGTCACAAATAAATTGCATTATTCATCATCCAAACTATAATTACTTTCGCTATCGTCGCTATCATCACTTTCGGTCTCACAATCCTCCTCCTCGATAACTACGTCACCATCGTCGTTCGGGCCCACTGCAACATCGTAGCACGAAATATCACCAAGGTCAATTGTAATTGATTGAATCGGTATTTCGATTGAAAACACTCCTTGTATCTGAAGTGGTTCTTGGATAAGATTTGTATCTCGAAGTGTTTCCGCATTATTTTCCATTGAAGATTCTAAACGTTGGTTAGTGATGTTGTTGACGTTGTTGTCTTGTTTTGGTATAGCATACACGTTCCTCTAATCCATCTTCTAAACAACTTTTCAACCTCTCCCGGCTTTAGGATCATCTAGATACACAATCGGTTTTGCCATGTTTGCCAAAATGTAAGGGTCGTCATCATACCAAGTTTTGCTAATGTTCACAGATAGTAAGCCATGGTCGATTTTAACACTTCCCTGCCTATTTGGGTTTGTATCAAACCATCAACACTTAAACATGATCACTTGGTATTGGTCTTTGTAAATCAATTGCACGACAGTTGTTAGTTTGCCATAGAAATCAATGTCCGTACTTTCGCCCCCACCTGGGACATAGACATCGCTATTTTGCGTACACAATTTGTCATCTCGTGCAGTTCCCAAAAAATTGACGCCTTTAACATGGCAACCCAAGAACAATTCAGCATGAATTTGGCTGAACGCCAAGTTATACAACTCTTCACTGTAAGTGGGGGAATTTAATGCTTTCAATTTATTAACCTAACATTATACAAAAACCTACACATGTTAGTTTGAGAAAATTAAATACTATAGTATATATCACAAATACAAAACACTTATAACTTACATATTCGAGAAACCAGTGTGGAAACAATTCTCGGTGTTTCTTGGCATGCAATTTGATGGATGTTCTCGCTTCACCGTATATTCATGCTCATCTAAGTATGCCATTATCTCGTCACAATTGTTCAGTACGAACCAATGTACTACCTCCATGTCATTTTTGGAAAACGACTTGCCTCATACAGGATCTCTAAAGGATCGTGCGCTTTGGGTAAAAACATAAAGTTTCTCCTTTCTCACACCCCTGTCATTATTGCGCTAAGGATGATTGAAAGTAGTATCCACATCTTTTAAATACATTCCACAAAAGTAAGCGACTCATATTGAATGGAAGCCTCTATAATTAATCCTTCGGGCTTCACCCTGTTGTGTACACTTTTTTTCAAATCCCCAAGAAGCCTTCCAAAATAAAACGATATGATACAAATTAGTAAGCGTGGGTTAATGGTGAATAAACAGATGATGAAGATTATATACCTTTCTATTTGATACATCTAGCGATAGTTGACAGGACCAGCAAGTAATGCCTCTTCGGGCAAGTGAACCATCACATGAATCATACTTGTGAAAAAAGCTGGAGGGAATATCATCTCAAACTTGCATAGGACTTGGAGAATGTCATGGTGCAACTGATTAACATCTGTCTTTCGCAACGTTTTTGCAGTCAGTTGGGAAAAAAATCTGGACAACAACATGATTGGCTTCACAACATCTTCCAGCAATAAGTACGTCATGTACAAATTTAACAACATAATATAAATATAATTTCACAACACAATATAAACATAATTTCACAACACAATATAAACATAACAACATAAGTTCAACATAATTTAATTAATTTAATATTTTAAAAAAAATATAACGGAGAAAATACCTTCTCAATCGTTCTCCACCAATCGCTAATCAAACACAATATCCCTATAGACAACGAAATTCATGGCTTTAGTATGAATTTACATTAATACTTTTACCCTAACAAAAAAAAAAACGCTTACCAGACACACTGAGATAACTCGATCAACCTAGAAAAGAAGATGAAGGGAGTATTAGATGATGAAATTGAGTGAAAATGGAAATGATGGATGTTGGATTGAGCAAAACTGAAGGGGATAAGTGTAGATACAAAATCTGCAATTTTTGTGCAGCAGATTATAAAGTTTACTTTTGGACGAATGATTTTGCGCGACGAACAAGGTCTTCGTCGCACAAATGTCCTTTGCATGATTAACATAGTCTTCGTCAAGCAAACAACATTCGCGCGAAAAAAAAAGTATTCATTACGCAAGTTTACCGTTTTTATTTTATTTCCTTTACTTTATAATTTATTCTTTTCAACAAATTGCGCAACAAAAACATGTATCGTCGTGCAATGCATATTTTTTTTTTTTTATGTTTTTCCGTTTTATTTGCATGTAATGTAAATTTTTATTTTATTATAAATAAAAAACTCAAATCTAATTAAACATTAAATTAATTAACAAAACTAATTTACTATCTCAAATACAAATTATAATTAATATAAATATTAATACTCATCCACATAACATAAATTAATTAATTAAATTAAATATAAAGTCCACAAAATCTTATTTCAAAAAAAAAAATTACAATTCAACTTCAATCCTCTCCCACCTGCAACACATCAAACTTCTACCACTGGAAACTCTCCTTGAAAAGTCCATCCACATAAATCTGACAGGAACTTGCGCGACGAAACCTTTGTCGTGCAAGGTCCCCTTTTTGGTCGCGCAAGGTTTTCGCGTCAAAATAAATTACCTCACGTTTTCTTGATGACTTTGCTCGACGACAACTGTTATTAGTTGCATGTAGTATTCTTGCTTGACAAGGTTTTCGTCGCACAAATTTATTTTTTTTCCTTTCCTATCTTTTTTGCGCAAAGACAATATTTTTTTCCATCACGCAAGTACCTCTTGTGCGACGAAATATCATTCGTAGCACAAAATCTCGTTGCACAAGCTGTTTTTTTCTAGTAGTATTAGCTCAGGAAACGCATAAAATGCATGAAATGAATTCAGGTACTCGATCAAGTAAGCTTGTATCCTGTTCTTCTTCAACCCCTGGTAGCATATCTTTTGCCAGTCTTGTAACGGATCAAAACTTCCAACGAAAACAATCGTTGTTGGAAACCTCACCCCCAAGACACAGTGTGATTCTGGTCCGAACACGTTTGCCACCGCGTGGTCCCTATCCGACCCTTCCAGCAAAAACGCCTTCCAATACCAGTTAGTTTGCTCCAAAGTAATCGCCAAGCCCTTTTTTGGAAGCCATGTTTCCAGTTCGGTCTTTTCTTTCCCGCCCAAAGATGGTTGTATCGCTATTAGTCTTATCACCCTCATCTGGCAAAACTCATGGTTACTCGCCTTGATTGGCACATGGTGGGCCAGATGTTAGAATATGAGTATGAAAATCAATATTATAGCCGGTTGTAGTGTTTCGATTGACATAGAAAAGCATTGCTAGAAAACTTAAAATTATCCTAATTCTTGTAGGATTGTAATTAAAATATGATTTGAATTCATAGTTGGTATCCTATGGTGATTCTAATAGGAGAATAAATTAGGATTGATCTATTACTAGTAAAAAAAACACTTTGCACGACGTACGTACATTCGTCGTGCAAAGTGAAAAATCGTTGCGCAAGGGTTTGTGAGATGCAACATTCGTCGCACGCTAACCGTCGCACCAAGCTCGTGACGCTAGGGTTTGCGCAACGAAGAAATAACATGCGTCGCGCAAAGACACTTTGTGCGACGCACGACCTATGTCGTGCAAAGTCACTTTGCGCGACGCACGTCGTACGTTGTGCAAAGATACTTTGCGTGACGCACATCCTAGGGCGTGCGTCGCGCAAACCCTTTTTTTTTTTATTTAGTGAAAAATAATTTTTTTTGTTTTAGTGAATTTTGTTTTTTAATTTTTGATAAATATTGTAATTAAATTCTAAAGAATAATTAATTAACCAAGCAAAAGTATTTAATTATAAAATATATGAAAATGTACATACAAGATGTCCAAACAAAAAAGAAAAAACTACAAGTGAACTAGGTTTAATACATCAGGCTATTGGGTATTGGCAAGGCGAGATGGCTCTGAGGTCGAAGGTGAAGCAAGATGAGGTGCTGGTAGCAAGATTTGGAGGCCGGACATCTGTATAGCTTGTACAAGTTCTTGCACCCTCTCGACACATATCTTCATCTCCTCATCCTGGGCCCTCAGCTGCGCCTTCATCTGCTCGCCCTCGACCCTCAGGTGCGTCACTTCCGCCTTCAATGCATCGACCTCTGTTGTGTTCGACATCCATGGTTCTTCAACATCTATGGTTCTTCAATGCATCGACCTCTGCTGTGCAAACAAAAAAGAAATAACATGAATATAAAAATAATAATAAAACTGCAAGAGAGAACAACATTTAGAATTTAGTGCCTGGGGAAAGTAAACAGCTATAGCTCTTCAACATCTATGGTTAGATGGAATCCTTTGATTGCACACATTTTAAGCAAAAACCGGAGATTCTCGGCGAGGCCACAAGTTCCGTCATGCCCCACAGGATGAAGCAGACATGTTACATTGTGTTCAACAATCTCTTTTGTGCCTCTGGCTTCGGTTCTAAGCACCTGATCAAAGCAAATACATAAGAATTATATTTAATCAAACGATCGAGATCAGTATTAGTAATGCCATTTTGCTTCAAAAGAGGCTTTAACTTTTATAACTGTTTCTGTTGTTTTCGAGGAGAAACCGGAACATGGCATACAACGCTAAAAAACACCATTTTGTTTTCACGATGCAAAAAAGAACGGCAATACTATCCCTAGCCGAAAAAGAAAGATTATGCCATAAAGCAGTCATATAGTAGCATGCCTTCGCATATTTGAGGTTCGATTAGGGAGACTAAATGTTAGCGACAGTATAAAAAAAACTATCATCCAAGTGGGATGAGGAATAAAATGTCATACCGGAAGACCGAATGCCATGGCTTCAATTGTCACTCTCCCAAAAGTTTCTCCCAGTCCCTGTGCACCATTTGACAAACTGTGTTAATTCTAAATGATATAGAATAATTGATCAAATGCATACAAGCATAAATCAAGATTATATATTCAACTGAAATGAGAAATGGGTTACAAACGCAATAAATTGGAACCGCTACATACATATTGAACAGAACAGTAACATTTGGTGGTATGCCTAGTTCATACATCACCAATGGAATTCATGAATACATATTTGACTATTTGACATGACTATCATCAGACACTTCTTACGATACTGTAAAGCATCCAGCTTCAGCCACAATCCTCTTTTCATAAACTTCATATAAAAAAGAAAAACCATGTGCTATTCTTATAAGCATGAATGCAGCAAAGTTCTTAAACCCACAAGGTTTTTTAACTTAATCAGATTGAACTTCTTAACCATAAAGTGAAACCTATTGTGTTTAGTAACTGCCATTTTGAAATGGAAGTAAGATAATCCAAAACTGATTAATCTCAAAGGTAAGAGATCATGGAGATAAGGAAAAATGAAAAGTGACGAAACTATGTTACCTAAAACAGAAACAGGATGACTCAACTGTTTCTCTTCCCTCTTCTTCCGCTATAGCACCACTATTTTCTTACTTTAATGATACTCAAGCAGCAACTCAACTACATAAAATATTAAGCTAAATTAGCAGAATATAATCATCCGCATTTGGGCATTTTGCTTTAAGCCATACAGTAGAAAAAATTATGCTAAAAGTACACAATGAACCACCAGGTAAATCAGAAAGCAATAAACCCACATCCGAAAGAATGATAGAAAGAAGGAGAAGGGGTATTTATATGTACTTGTCGTTGTTGCAATCCATTTTTTGAGCAGCAGCAGTAGCAGTAGCAGCAGCAACTCAATCGTCGCTGCCCAAATGTCAGACCCTCTTTGCTTTCTCTCTTTACACACAAACTCTCTGTCTTGGGTGGAGAATTAAATCGAGAAACCCATCTGCCAAATTAAAGGAGGTGAGAGCAAGGAATTGACTCTTTGGATTTGACTACATATATACCGAGAAAACTTTGAAAGATAGAGAGATAAACCAAAAAATCAAACATGAGAATCAAATGGCTTACCAACTGGGTAGGTTTTTAATTTCTTATGCAGTTATATGAGTAATCAATATCTGAGTTGTGCATTCAATTGCTCACCTCCACACGCATTCTTGTCCACCTTTTTTATGCAATTGAACATCAGCGCCGCTAACGACGCAAATATGCCTGCAAAACAAAAATCCCATTTCGCATACACAAATATAAAACCCTAGAAATCTAAAAACATGCAGAAACAGAATTTGGGGTTCGGGTCGGACCTTGAAATATCCAAGAACGATGTGAACTGGCTGAAAACAATTCCCTTTGCAGATCCATCCTTTTCAACCATAGATCTGATTTCTTCTCTCTACAGCACAATAAATTACACAATCATTAAATTAAATATACAAATAATGAGATTGAATGTGCGAACCTGAAGAGGACATCGAAATTGACGGCGGCGAGAGCTTGGCCGAGATGGAGGTGTATGAAATTTTTTTGGATGAAGGCAAAAATAGAGAGAAATGGAGAGATGGTGTTGGGAATGAGAGACAGAGAGTTTGAGAGAGTGATTGAAGACCGAGAGAGAGAGGAGGCTCAAGGCTCAGGGCTCAGGCTACTACACGAGATGTGAGAGACCGAGTGAGACCAAATTTGGGAAAATATAAAAAAAGCGCCTAATTTTTACAAAACTACCGCCAAATTTTTAACTCATTGCGCGCATGTATACCTTATGTCGTCGCGCAAAGTGATTTTGCGCAACGATCCCATTTAAGCGTCGCGCAAGTTATATATATATATATATATATTTTTTTTTTTAAATTATTATAAAATTCTACAAAACTAATTTCAACGATCCAACCATCAAACTTATTTGTATATGTTTCAAGATTGCATACACTAAAAATCGCAAAAAAAAAAAAAAACATTCAGAGCTCAAGTAACGGGACAAAACATTTCGACGATTATAAACGAAAAATCACGATTTAATGATTATTTTAACTCCGAATTTGATGATTTTTTACATTTACACTCCTTAACCCTATGTGAATACAGTGAATGAACTCAGTCGTCAATTTAAAATATTTACACTAGTGGATACCACAAAATCTTATGTTATGCTTAATGAAAGTATAAATAAACTTTTAAGTGTTAGTAAATCTATTGTTTTGATGAGGTACGCATTCTACAAAACTAATTTCAACGATCCAATTGTCAAACTTATTTGTATATGCTTCGAGATCACATACGCCAAAAATCGTAAAAAACAAACATTCAGATATGAAGTAACGAGGCAAACATTTTCAACAATTATAAACGAAAAATCACGATTTAACGGTTATTTTAACTCCGATAATGATAATTTTTATAGCTACACTCCTTGATCCTATATGAATACAATAAACAAATTCGATCGTCAATTCAAAACATTTACACAAGTGGATACCACAAAATCTTATGTTATACTTAATGAAAGTATAAATAAACTCAAAGTGTTAATCAAACTAATGTTTTGGTGGCATACACATTGTACGAAACTAGTTTCAACGATCCAACCGTCAAACTTATTTGTATATGCTTCGAGATCACATACGCCAAAAATCTCAAAAAACAAACATTCAGAGATCAAGTAACGGGACAAACCTTTTCAACGGCTATAAACGAAAAATCACGATTTAACAGTTATTTTAACTCCAATTTTATTGATTTTTTACAGTTACGTCTTTAACCTCATATGAATACAATGAATCAATTCGATCGTCAATTTAAAACATTTATACAAGTGAATACCACAAAATCTTATGTTATACTTAATGAAAGTATAAATAAACTCCAAGTGTTAGTCAATATAATGTTTTGATGGCATACACATTGTACGAAACTAGTTTCAACGATCCACCATCAAACTTATTTGTAAATGCTTCAAGATCGCATACGCCAAAAATCGCAAAAAACAAACATTTAGAGATCAAGTAACGGGACAAAACTTTTCGACGGTTATAAACAAACATAACGATTTAAAAGTTATATTAACTTCGATTTTGATGATTTTTTACAACTATCCTCCTTGACCCTATATGAATACAACGAACTGATTCAATCCTCAATTTAAAATATTTACACAAGTGGATACCACAAAATCTTATGTTATAGTTGATGAAAGTATTAATAAATTCCAAGTGTTAGTGAATATATTGTTTTGAACGCATTGTACTAAACTAATTTCAACGATCCAACCGTCACACTTGTTTGTAAATGCTTCGAGATCGTATACGCCAAAAATCGCAAAAAAAAAACATTCAGAAATCAAGTAACGGGACAAAACTTTTTTACGGTTATAAACAAAAAAATCACGATTTAACGGTTATTGTAATTTCGATTTTGATTATTTTTTACAGTTACGCTCTTTAACCCTATATGAATACAATGAATCAATTCGATCGTCAATTTAAAACATTTACACAAGTGGATACCACAAAATCCTATGTTATACTTAATGAAAGTATAAATAAACTCCAAGTGTTAGTCAATCTAATGTTTTGATGGGATACACATTGTATGAAACTAGTTTCAATGATCCAACTGTCAAACTTGTTTGTATATACTTCGAGATCACATACGCCAAAAATCTCAAAAAACAAACATTCAGAGATCAAGTAACCTTTTTGACAGCTATAAAAGAAGAATCACGATTTAACGGTTATATTAACTCCAATTTTGATGACTTTTTATAGCTACACTCCTTGACCCTATATGAATACAACAAACTAATTCGATCCTCAATTTAAAATATTTACACAAGTGGATACCACAAAATCTTATGTTATAGTTGATGAAAGTATTAATAAATTTCAAGTGTTAGTGAATCTATTGTTTTGATGGGAAATGCATTGTACGAAACTAGTTTCAACGATCCAACAATCAAACTTGTTTGTAAATGCTTTGAGATCGTATACGCCAAAAATCGCAAAAAATAAACATTCAGAGATCAAGTAATGGGACAAAACTTTTCGACGGTGATAAACAAAAAATCACGATTTAACGGTTATTTTAACTCCGATTTTAATGATTTTTTATAGCTACACTCTTTAACCCTATAAATATACAATGAACCAATTCGATCATCAATTTAAAACATTTACACAAGTGTATACCACAAAAAAAGGCAATGTAAGAACCCACAAAAAAAAAAGCCTTTGCGCTACCTAGGTACCACATCGTCGCGCAAAATGTTTTTGCGCGACGCAGTTGTACGTACGTCACACAAAGGCTTTTTTTTTTTTTTGTTATTTTTTTTGGGCCCTTTTGCTTATAAGTACAAAATAAATAAATGAAAATGTACTTAGTAAATACATATACCATTGATTTTGATGGGAAACGCATTGTATGAAACTAGTTTGAATGATCCAACCGTCAGACTTGTTTGTATATGCTTCGAGATCGCATACGCCAAAAATCGCAAAAAAAAAAAATTCAGAGATCAATTAACAGGACAAAACTTTTCGACGGTTATAAAAAAAAATCACGATTTAACGATTATTTTAACTCCGATTTTGATGATTTTTTACAGCTACACTCTTAACCCTATATGAATACAATGAACCAATTCGATCATCAATTTAAAACTTTACACAAGTGTATACCACAAAAAAAAAAGCAATGCAAGAACCCAAAAAAATAAAAAATAAAAAGCCTTTGCGCGACGTAGGTACCGATGCATCGTGCAAAACCTTTTTGCGCGACGCAGGTGTACCTACGTAGCACAAAGTCTTTTTTTTTTTGGGCCCTTTGCTTATAAGTACAAAATAAATAAATGAAAATGTACTTAGTAAATACATATACCGTTGATTTTGATGCGAAACGCATTGTATGAAACTAGTTTGAACGATCCAACCGTCAAACTTGTTTGTATATACTTCGAGATCGCATACGCCGAAAATCTCAAAAAGCAAACAATCAAAGATCAAGATGTTTTGCGCGACGCCAAATAAATAATTTCACTTTCATACCTCATGTACTATTTTATTTCAAAATAATACGTCCGTTAGATTTTCCATCCATTGGTCTATTAAATGCTGATGTGACTGCCACATTTGTGCTGATGTGGCTGCCATGTGGCGAAAAAATAATTTTTTATATATTAAAAATATTATCATATTAACCCTCCTAAAAAAATACAGAAAAACCCGAACCTATATCCCCTTCATTCCCCCGAACCTCTCTGCAACTCCCATTTACACAATCCATCGGCCCGCGGTTCGTCCCCATTGAAGCACTTCCATACCTAATCCTACCCACCAACCAACCCATTTACAAAATCCCCAGTCTGAAACCCTATTAACCTAACTCGTAAACCCGTAGAGAGTCATGCCCAAGCTGTCGAAAAAGTCAGATTCAACGGAGAGGCTCTGGAGGTGGGTAGTGGTGGTTGTGGAGCCGGAGGAAGCGATGGGCTTAGGAGTGGAGGAGAAGAGGTTGGGTTGTTGGCCCCCCGAGGAGTCATCGGACAGTACACCCCCTGCCTGTTCTTCTGCCGCCATCCCTAACCATTGATGCCCTAATTGGAGCTAGCCATCCTCTCTGTTGTTGATGGTTGGCAAAGGCATAGGATTTTTCAAGTTTTTAGCCATGATTTTCTGGAACATCAATCCCTCCCTCCTTCATCTGATTTGACAACAATGCCGCCGTCATCGCAACCTCTTCTCTTTCTTTCTCTTTTGTTATGCCTCCATCTCAGCCTCCCCAAGCAACTCGGTCGCGGTGTTGCTGCAGGCCATGACAAACTGTTCGACTAAAAAATCCATCCAGTTCGAGCGAGAATCGAAGAACTAGGACTTTGTAGTTTTGGATGTGCCTTGCTGGATTAGTCATGGTTTCCAGCGAAAACGAGCACCAAAAATCTTCTAAATTGAAGCAACCCATCGCCTCGCTGCCGCCGCATTTGGTATCAGATCTTTGACTTGGTTCCTCATTGACAAAATTGAACAACACAGATCGACGATAGTGTTTATTTGTGTCGAAGGGTTTAAAATTAGGGGAAGGGCGGCTGAGCCATGTGAAATTCGGTTAGATGAGACAGAGTGGGGAGAGATGATGGATTTTAGGTTGCTTTTGGGTGGAGTCGGTGCCAAAGAGGTTTGGATTGGATTTAGATTTGGCGGCAGAGGGTGATGGGTTTGGGTTTTTCTTGTTTTTTCCCTTTTTTTAATAAGGTTAATATTATAATATTTTTAATGTATAAAAATTATTTTTTTCTCCATGTGGTAGCAACATCAACACAAATATGGTAGCCACGTCAGCATTTAACAGACCAATGGATGGAAAATCTAATGGATGTATTATTTTGAAATAAAATAGTACGTGAGGTATGAAAGTGAAATGTTTTAAAGATGTTGTATAGGGTTGTAATAGACCTCAAACCTGAGGGATTACTATGTAATTTACCCAGAAAAATATTTGATACAAATGACAAAATAAAAAAAAAAGCAAATTAATGAATAAAAAAATAATTTTAATTTATAATATAAATAAAAATGTACGTACAAATACAAAGTTTTAAAAGAAAGCGGGAACAAAACTATGAAAAAAAAAAGCAGAATAATCTATAGGAAAGTCATTTTGAGGTACTTGGTGTTGGGGACAGGGTCGG